CACCCCCCAGCTGCCCCAGTGCTCTCAGTACACTCCAGTGTCCCCAGTGCTCCCCAGCTACGATGCTCCCCAGGCTCTCTAGTGTCCTCCAGGGCCCTCTGTGCTCCCCAGTGTGTGTCCCCCCCCCCATCCTCCCAGTATATCCCACTGCCTCCCAGTGCTCACAGGGCACCAGTACTCCATGTTTTTCCCCTAGTGCTCCCTTGCCCCTCCCAGTACACCCCTCATAAGTCCTCCCATTACACCTCAGCCCTACAAACCATGCTGGCTCGTGTCCCCTACTGCCTCCCAGTATTTCCAGTATACCCCACTGTCCCAAGTGCTACCCACCCCACTAGTGCTCTCGAGGGCCCTCTGTGCTCTCCAGTGCCCACCAGTACTCCCAGTACACTCCAGTGCCCCCATGTGATCCCCAGACCCTGCCTGTTCTCTCTAGTGTTCCCGAGGGCTCTCTGTGCTCCCCAGTGCCCCCCAGTGCTCCCAGTACACCCAAATGTGCCCCAGTGCTCCCCAGGGAACAGTAGTCCGAGTACCCCCCCGTTCCTGCAGTGCCCCCTAGTGTTCCCAGGGCACCAGTACTCCAAGTACCTCCCAGTGCCCCCACTACACTCCAGTGCCCCCAAGCACCCCCGCAGTGCCCCCTAGTGTTCCCACTATAACCTGCAGTCCCCCGTGCTCCTGAGCCACACTGTGCTCTCTAGTGTTTCCCAGGGCCCTCTGTGCTCCCCAGTTCCCCCCAGTACTCCCAGTATATCCCAGTGCCCATCAGTGCTCCCAGGGCACCAGTAGTTAAAGTACCTCCCCAATGCTCCCTGTATAGTGCCCCCGAGTCCCCCTCCAGTGCCCCTCAGTGTTCCCACCACACCCCAGTACTCCAAGCACCCCACCACTACACCCAAGTGTTCCCAGTATATCCCAGTACCCTCCACCACTGTCACAGGAACGACATGAGACCAAGGCGGGCCCTTGAGCATTTAATGACACGGGAAGGGACAGGAGGGACAAGGCAGGATGAAAGCCACCAATGATGGGTACAGGACACGTAGAAGCACCCCTTGGCCAGCACTGGTGTGGTAGAGGGGCACCTTGGACACCCCTGGGGCTGCTGGGGCAAGTTGGCCAATTGAGGACAGGGGTAGTGGCTTTGGGGATGGATCCACGTGGGTGTTCTCCAGGTTGCTGCTGTGGCTTGGCGGGGTTGGAGGGGTGGGGATGCCTGGGATCCTCATGGCGGGGGTGGTGGCTCCAGGTGAGAGCTTCTCACCCGGCTTCAGGCAGGAGGGGAGCAGGATTTTGAGGGTTCAGAAACTCAAGCTGCCCCAGGAGCCCACGCACAGCTGCTGTGTTGCCCCCAGAGCTGGCATTAGGAGTAGATGTTTCTTCTCTGCACCTGGGGACAAGGCACAAGCAGGGTCATCGCGAGAAGGGGGCTAATGACTGCCTTGGGCCAGTCTCCCCTGACCATAGGCAGGGACGTTGATCTGGCTGGTCTTCGCAGCCGTCCTCCAGACAAACAGGATGTTCTCAACAAGAATGTCTGGGTCCAGGGCATCCGTGAGGGTGGCCACAGAGGTGGCGTTGACTTGGTTGTCTTCCAGATAGAACTTGAATGCATCCTTCAGCCTGTGAGTGAGGCAGAGCAGGGAAGGTGAGCGGGTGGAGGTGGGATGGATGTCCCACCACCCCCAGCCACCAGTAAGGGCTAGTGTTGGCTGTCAACAATAAGCACTGTCTTAATCAAGATGGCTGGTCAATGGTGGCTCTCAACAGTAGCCAAGGTTGCCAGCCCAATGCTGGCTCTCAATGATGGCTAAGGTTGCCCATCAATACTGGCTCTCACTGTTGCCCAAGGTTTCTGGCCAATGGTGATTCTCAACGGTGGCCATGGTTGCCAGCCAATGGTGGCTCTTAGCAGTGGCCAAGATTGCTCGTAAATACTGGCTTTCAATGGTGGCCAAGGTTGCTGGCCAGTGGTGACTCTAAGCTATGTCCAAGGTTGCCCGCCAATACAGACTCTCAACAGTGGCCAGTGTTGCCAGTCAACGGTGGCTCTGAACAGTGGCCAAGGTTGCTGATCAATGGTGGCTCTCAGTGGTGGCCAAGGTTGCTGGCCAATGGTGGCTCTCAAATTTGGCTAAGGTTGCCAGCCAATGGTGGCTCTCAGCTGTGGCCAAGGTTACCAGACAGCGGTGGCTCTCAGTGGTGGCCAAGGTTGCCCACCAATACTGGCTTTCAAGATTGGCAGACGCTGCCGGCCAATGGTGGTTCTCAACAGTGGCCAAGGTTTCTGGTCAATGGTGGTTCTCAAAGGTGGTCAGGGTTGTGGGTCAATGGTGGCTCTCAGTTGTGGCCAAGGTTACCGGTATATGGTAGCTCTCAGTGGTGGACACGGTTGCCCGTCAATATTGGCTCTCTACAGTGGTCAACCTTGCCAGCCACTGGTGGCTCTGAGTGGTGACCAAGGCTGCATGTCAAAGGTGGCTCTCAACGGTGGCCAAGATTGTGGGTCAGTGGTGGCTCGCAACAGTGGCCAAGGTTGCTGGTCAATGGCAGCTCTCAAAGGTGGCCAAGGTTGCCGGCCAATGGTGGCTCTCAACGGTGGCCAAGGTTGCTGATCAATGGTGGCTCTCAATGGCAGCCAAGACTGCTGGTCAACAATGGTCAGCACTTGTGCTAGAGGCCACCCTGGGGTATCTCCAGTGGCATCAGGAGCCAATGGTATAACTGATGGTTGGGCATCAACTCTCTTCCCATCAAGGGTGATGCCACCTTGGGACGAGCATCTTCAAAGATGGAGATCCACCAACACACAAGCAGAAAAGTCCTTGAATAACCTGCCTGGGGCAGGACTTGGACCAGAGACCTTCAGAGGTCCCTCCCCAACAAAAACTTCCCAGGAAGCTGCGACTTCTGCCACCTCTCTGGCTGTCCCATGACACGACCTGGACTTACTCATATTGAGGCTCAAACTGGGACAGTGCCACAGTGATCATCTCGTGAAGCTCAAGGAGAAAGAGGTCAAGGTTGGTGTTGGACAACGCAGAGGTCAGGGCTTTTGCCTTCCTTGTGTCCAGCTGCTCTTGGAACTGCTTGGGTACCAGGCAGAAGGGATCCTGCAAAGACCACCAGCTTCAGCAACAGGAAGACCCCAGCACACCCCACCCAGATGGGTCTGGTGGCGATGTCTGACGGAGGAAGGAGAACCACAACCCGCTCGTGCCCTTGAACCTCATCTCAGGGCTACCAGAGAGCTTCCTAGGCATGAGCCAGTCTTGAAAGTGCCAGGGGGATTGGATTATCTTCAGGATGGACCAGAGATCTTGATTTTATCCGGGGAAGGGGTGAGACAGGGACATCAAAAGTGCTGCCTGTCTGCAGCAATGTAGGTTTCCTTTCTCTCCGCAGCTCTGCGGAGAGGGACCTGGGTGTCCTGGTGGACGACAGGTTAACCATGAGCCAGCAGTGTGCCCTGGCTGCCAAGAAAGCCAATGGGATCCTGGGGTGCATCAAGAAGAGTGTGGCCAGCAGGACGAGGGAGGTTCTCCTTCCCATCTACACTGCCCTGGTGAGGCCTCATCTGGAGTACTGTGTCCAGTTCTGGGCTCCCCAGTTCAAGAAAGATGAAGAGCTACTGGAGAGAGTCCAGCGGAGGGCTACAAGGATGGTGAGGGGACTGGAGCATCTCCACTACGAGGAGAGGTTGAGGGAACTGGGCTTGTTCAGCCTGAAGAAGAGAAGGCTGCGAGGGGACCTTATAAATGCCTACAAATATCTGAAGGGTGGGTGTCAGGAGGATGAGGCCAAGCTCTTTTCAGTGGTGCCCAGCAACAGGACAAGGGGCAATGGGCACAAACTGAAGCACAGGAAGTTCCGTCTGAACATGAGGAAGAACTTCTTCCCTCTGAGGGTGACAGAGCACTGGAACAGGCTGCCCAGGGAGGTTGTGGAGTCTCCTTATTCTCCTCCCCAAGGAGCAAACCCTATCTCCATCCCCAACCTCATCTCCCTCACCTGGTTCATCTGTACCAGCAGCATGGACCTGCGAGCCGCCAGGACCTGCCACAGCGACAGGATGTGCTTCAGCTGGGTGTTGGGTACCACCTGCAGAAGGGGGACAGAGAGGAACAGGCATTCAGCTCCTTGGAAAGGTCCCATCTGCGCTAAGCTACAGCACGTCCTGGAGGAGGACACATTGGGTCACAAATATCCCCCAATGGTTGCACCTCAGCCACCCAGTTCAACCAACCAGGCCGGTGCATCTACAAACTCTTGGCTCCCACATCACCGGCATCCGCGACGGAGGTACCCCAGTCCATCTGCAGTGCCCGAGGTGTCCCCAGGGTGGTGGTGGACATGGCACGAAGGTCTTGCACCATCCATCCAGCCATTTAAACCCACCCAGGTGCCCAGGACCTCTTTTCTCTGAGCAGGGGACACCCAAACCTTCATGGACACTAGATCTGGGGATTCTGGAGCACACGAAGGCGGTGGGAGCCACAAGAGTCATGAAGCTGTGCCCAGGGTGCCAGGTGTGGCCATCAAATGGAGGACACAAGGGTCACATGTCCCACCCACCCGAGTCCTTCACCCACCGGCAGGTCCTGGAACTGCTTTGCATTGGCGTCCATCTTCAGCTCCTGCTGGACATACTCAGGCAGCGGGCGCTCTGGGTCACCACCCGTCACGGCCAGGAACTCAGCAGCCACCTTCACGGTGGCCAGGGTCTTGGAGAGGGCATTGACCGAGCGGGCCTCTTCCATGATGCGCTTCTGCTGGTTGATGCTGAGCAGCTCCTGCCAGCAAGAATGGCAAGGATGTGAGCCGGCGAGGGCTGGGACTACCACGACCTGATGCCCTCCCAGCCTACTCGTCCCCCTGGAACAGGAGAACTGGGTCCCACTAGGGCTCCAACCCCCTACTTGAGTTGGCCTTGGGTCTTCCCGCGGTTCTGCCCGGTCTCCGTGCCCCCATCTTGTCACCAGATGTGAGGGGAGACCTCAGGGTTGGATGGAGAAGACCGGCGACTCATTTCCTACCTGGGGCAGCTGATCCCTCACTTGCACCTTGGTGTTCTGGAGTGTCCTCACGTTGTTGAGGGCAATGGATGGAGCCGTCTGGAAAGGGTTTGGGGCAGATGGTTATGAACATGCCTGGTGTCGCTTAACGGGGGCCACCAGGGAAGTTCAGCTGAGCAGAGGTGAGTCCATGGGATGTCCCTGCGGGTTCCGCAGGAGATGGTCCATGGCCTCCTGAGGCCACTGTGGGGGTGTAGAGACGTGAGGATGTTCTTGATGGCTGGAGGAAGGCATCTCCATGAAGGAGGATCTGGGGAGACTGCAGCCTCACCTCCGTCCCCAGCAAGGTGATGGAGAAAGTCCTCTCATGAGCCATTTCAAGGACCAGAAGGGTCCTGGGAACAGCCAGTGTGGACAGATCTCCACCTTTAGGAGAGCCCACATGGACCATTTGCTGCAGGATAGCCTGGTTCTCATGTCCTCAAGCCCCCTTTCCCCACCAGCTCCAGGCTTCATTTTCACAGAATGGAGACCAACGGCCCCAGCCAGAGACACCTTCCTCCAAGCTGGTCCAGAGTCCCACTTTGGACCATACATAACCCTAGAATATGCTTCCTGAAGTTCTTTCAACAGCTACCAACTCGTCCCTTGATCTCAATGAAACTAAGGTGGCTTCCCCTTCACAAAAGGCAGGGCTGTGGGTCCTCACGCTGCCTTTCAGGTCACCATTTCATGACCACAGAAGTGGTTTCTGGCGACGGCAGCCCTTCCAAACCCAAGGAACAGAGACAGATGCACAGCAGGCTTCTGCCAAGGCCTTCAGTTGAGTCTGCAAACTCCAGAAAGGTGTGTAGAAGAGGCTGGAAACAGACCCCAACCCCACAGCTGACCTGCGACAACCCAGCTTGGCCCACACTGAGCTCACCTGAGCCTTGATGATGGGCTTCCCGCTGATGAAACGATGAACCACTTGCCGCTGCAGCATCTGGAAGTCGAAGTAGGTCGTCTTGGTGTCATCTTCATCTATCTCGTACTGCAAGTTGGCTAGCGCCATGGTTACCAGATCACTCTTGGTTATGGCCAGCACGGAGGAGGACTTCACCTCTTCTGCGGAGATGGACCTGGAAGAGGAATGGTTGTCCTGTGTGGTGAGAGGACCTCTCGCCTTACGACAGCCCCCCTGCAAGCCCCACGCCAGCCCTGAGAGTCTCTCATGGAGCCTTTCCAGCAGCTGAAGGAGATGGCCAAGCTCTGAGGTGAGCAGCTCGGAGACCCACCGTTGCCTCTCCCTGGTGACCCGCGCAGCCGTGTCAATGCAGCTGTTTTGCAGCTGTATGAGGAAGCTGGTCACCAGGTGGCTGATGGACGGTTGGCTGGGGAGGAGGTGCAGGACGGCAGTGTTGGTGTTGATGTCGTTTGGCGAGAGGTCCGGCAGGATGGTGAGGCCTGTAAAAGAGCGGAATGGTCTTCTACCCGCTGTGTGGATCCCAGAGGAAACTTCTCCCTTTCACTGAGGTCTTGGCAGGGCTTTTTGTTAGGTTTTGTATTTTCAGAGGGGTTTTTTAATTTGTTTTTTGAGGGTGGAAAGCAAACAAGCTCAGCACCTTGCTAGGAAGGGAAGGGCAGCTGCAGAAAGCAACTCAGCTTCTAAACATCCCCAGAAGAAACGGCCGGGGAAGGAGGGGCGTCACACCCAGCTCTCTTCCCAGACGAAGAGCACGTACCTGAGCTGAATGGGTTCATTTTAATATTGCTCCAAACTTTCCGGATCGTCTCGATCGCTCTGCTGAAAGCCATACGCTGGTCCTCTGTGGGCAGAGAGAGAGGAGAAAACGGCCCCATCGAGGCGTGTCCCACCAAAGACATCTCCAACAAACAGAGTATCGGAGGTGTCACAGCAAACCGTGCTATGTCTTGGCTCGAGCTGGGCTTCGAGCTTGTGCTAAACCACGTGTGATATCAGCCAACCAGGCACCACGACTCAGGAGCTGAAAACCTTGTCTCGCCTATCTCGCTTCCCCATGGCAGAAGAACCTCACCAAGCACCAACTGTCCCAAGAGAAAGGATCTGCCCTGGATCCATCTCAATGCCTCAGACCTTCACCCTCTCCAAAACTTTCCCCCAGAACTGCTCCTGCAGAGGCACCCCGAGCCTCCATGGGCTTCTCTTGTTTTGGCTCTGCCACGCCAACCACAGCAGCAGCTGCCCACGGGAGCATCTGGGTGCTGAGAGATGTCTAACACCCACGTCCCTGGCGTGATGGAATTCCATATCACACCTGAAAGTTCAGGCTGGTCCAGGAATTGCCGGATTGTGTAGTTTTTCCCTCTATGGCTGTTTTGGAAGAAGTGGATCAGGGCATTCTGCAGACGGAAAATGTCTGGCAGGTGTCGGACATGTTGGATGTTCTCAAGCTGGAAGAGAAAATACAGCATGATTCAAGGGACAGGGAGCCCATCTGGCACCGTGGGGTAACCTGGAGGAGGAACTTTTCTTGTTTGGATGCTCCAAAGAAACACAAGGGCAAAAAAGTTACCCCAGTGACCTATGGACACCAACCAGGCTGAATCTACTCAGTGCCTGCACGTGATTTGGAAGAGAGGAGATGCTCCCACAGCAAACCTTCGACAGGAGCTCCAGCAGTATGGGGTATGGGTTTCCAGCGCCTTCTCCATCTTCCTGCTGTAGCAAATGCATCAAGGTCTGGATAGTTGTCTTCCGTTCAAATCTCCACATGCAGGGCCGGTTGATCAACCCCTGCGCTGGTAGGTCTGGGAAAGGCGGTGTCTGGCCGTAAGCTATTTTCAGGAGAAGGCTGGAGCCATGGGGACCTTCCTTCATCCTCTGCTCCTTGACAGAATTAAGGCTCTGCTCCAGTTCCTGCAAGCAACCAAGGGTTGTTAGGGGTCACCCCTTGTTACCCAAGTAGCCCAAGGGGCTTCACGAGGTCTTAGAGCAAAGAAAAGCAATGAGGGCTCTAGAGAAGACGAGGGACGTGGTGACAACTTGCCACCAAAGGGATCAGAACTGCCCAAGGAGAAACCCATGGGTGATCTTCTCCAAAAGAAGAAACCCAACCAGTTTCCAAGGGGGATCTGAATCAACACATGAAAAATATCCAAGAAGCCAGCTCTGTGCAGGAGCAGAGCAGGAGACCACACCAGCCAGGTCTCCACCACCCCAGGACAATGCCTTGATTCAAAAATGAAAGGACAAATCTCTTTTCTTTCCCCTGGGAACACCCTGAGCTCTGCGGACATGTCTGGACGTGGACGTGACCACCAGCAAATGGGTGCTTTGGGTACGCGATACCCGCGAGGAGCAGCTGGACGCAGGCCTACCTGGAAGAAGGGTTGAGCCAGGGCTTTGAAGGAGGTTTCCCATTCTTCTCGGTCCTTTTTCTCACGTAGGATGCTCAAGGATGCGCATTCATCTGGAGAAGACACAAAGCAAGATGTGAGCTTTTACCTTGTAGACCCTGGGGTCTGCCCAGAATTTTGTTGGGTTTCCTGACATCGAGGAGTATGACGGTGTAGAAATAAGAGGAACCGAGAGCAGAATGGATGACACAGGTGCCTACTCAGAGCAAACAATCTCCTAACCTGCTCATGCCCTCAGGCAGGTCTTGCCTGAGTGCTTTGGATGAGCTCAATGGCCTTGTGGTCCCCCCCATCGTCTCACTGGTTTCCCAGGATGGAGGCAGTCCCGAGAAGGAGGAACCACTGACACTGGTCCCGGTTAAAACCCAACCACCATGAGCCTGCTGGTGACCTTCCAGAGCTTCCTAGCATCTCATTACCTGCCAGGTTGTCCTTGCTGAGGTGCTGTAGGAACAGATGGACAGTCAACACAGCCTCCTCTGTGTTCCTGTTGAGTGCTTCTGCCAGGCACGTCATGTCTTTCCGAAGGTGGCCCCAGAAGAACTCTTCCACATCCTCCGGTTTCTTTTTCATCAGGTCCAGAATTGCCTGGAAGACGAGGCAGGTTCCTCCGTTAGGCTCTCGAGCAGGTGTCCTCCCGAGCTAGGCCAAACGCTCCTGGCAGCGTGGTGGTCGCTCACCTCTTTGTTGGCGTGGATCCCCAGCAGGAGGGATGAATGGAGCAGAGCTCGCGCAAGCCCGACGCAGGCAGGCAACAGGCACCTCTCCAGCTCGTTTCTCCGTGAGAGGGGGCTCTCCAGGATGTAGCCTTTCTCTGTTTTGTCCTCCGTGCTGGCGTTCAGAAAGAGGAATTACCTACCACATCTTTTGCTAGGGACCATGGGAGGCACAGACTTTTGCTTTGGCCAACCATGGCATTTTGCCCGTGGCTCTGTGGGAGGGTTGAGTGGACGGGTGAAGCCCCCTGGGGCTGCGGAGCCGTGGGGTGTTGACTTACGTGTCTTTCCACACAAAGCCTGTCTCAGGCTTGTGGTTCGTTCCCCCAATGGCGGCACCACACTGGCATTTCTTCACTTCCATGGGAAACCCACACTGCATTTGGACATGGGGGGGTGGAGTAAGGGAGAAGGTTGCAAGCCCAACCGGGCACTGAAGGCATCTAGCAAAAGCTGAGGGTGCCCAGGGGGTTTCTACGGCCTCCACCTGGGCTTTCTACAGGGGGTCATTGCAACACCTAACGAGAGGCAGGAGGAGACACGTGCCTAGCAGCAAACATCTCCAGACCAACCAGGTTCTTCCTACAGCCAGTAGGACACATCTAGGCATCAACTCGGTGATGAAGCTAACCAAAACCTGGAAGCTCCCACTCTGCTCCACAGCTCCCATGGCGGGACACAAATCCCAGCTCCATTTAACTTAGTGCCTCGCTGGGATATGAACCCAGCTGGCTTGGAGAAGAGCCCAGCTGGCTTGGAGAAGAAGCCAGCTGGCTTGGAGTAGAGCCCAACTAGCCTGGAGAAGAACCCAACTGGTTTGGACAAGAACACAGCTGGCTTGGGCAAGAACCCCGCTGGCTTGGAGAAGAACCAGACCAGCTTGGATAAGAACCCAAATGGCTTGGAGAAGAGCCAGACTGGCTTCTGAGCCTTACAGCTGCTCTTGCAGCTGAAGGACCACTTGACATGGTGGTGACATTGAAGTCTACATCAGAAGGGGAGCAGGACAGCAGGAGAAACACCTACAGCAGCCACCCAGTAGCAACAGCCAGACCAAGTTGTGTTCTGGGATGGTGCAAAGGGGACTGGCACCTCTGGGAGCCAGAAGAAGACCTGAGAAGCTCATCCCAAGACTGGCT